TATGGATTGTGATAAGAGTTGCATGAGCCCCCAATAAAATGAGTTAAATTAAAATTAAAAATAAAGGGAAAAAATAAAAGTATGCCTTTAGAGTGTGTCTCCTACTATGGAAAAAATAAACTAAATTAACAATATTTATAATTACTGCCATTATAACTAGAACAAATAGATGTTGTATGAAAATTACTGCCAGCGCTTTGACCTAGAGAACTAATATATTACCAACAAAAGGGCTCATGTACATTAAAGAAATTTAGCCTGTCAATTCAATTGAGCCCTTACTTTAAACACAATCTATTCCCTCTAATATAGCCCTCCTCCACACTAATCTTTCCTAAACAGATGATAACTAACTATTCAAAACAATGTTTGGAATCTTAAAACAAACAAGCAAAAAATAAAACAAAATAGTTAGGCTACAGCAGGTGGCCTTCCAAGAAATAACTGAACTGGAGAAGTCCATACAAAAGAAAGAAGAGCATCTTATGTGTGATCAAAGAATTTCACGTAAATTCTTTATCAAGAGTCTAACATTAGTTGGTGTTTGTACACAGAGCACTTTCAAAGTGGAGCCTTAACTTCATTTCAAAATCTTGGCACGAGTGTAGAAGCCAGGTTGAATGTAAAAGTTACTTTTTCTAACAATAGTTCCTCTATGCTTGATTCTGAGCTAACCATATAACCTAAAGGAGATATTATTTTCCTCTGAAGTCTGGCATGTTCAGGATATCAAAGTGGCACAGTAAATAAGATCACAGTAAATATACAGGGCTGTGATAGCTTACACCCGAAGTCTTGAAACGTCATTATTTTTATATTTTTGCAATGGTCACCCAGAAAGAAACATGATTAAGAAAGCAATTTTAAAAGCTGTTTACCATAAAAACCTACACTGCCACTATCATTTGATCATCCTCTAGTAAACATGTACCCTTAAGTAATTATGTATCCATCTATCCCTGTGAAATATCTGCTTTTAGATATACTGGCTTTTCCTTATCTGATTGTCTTTCAGTCAATTACGATTCTGTAACTATTAATTCATACTCCAACTGTCAAAAACTTGTTTTATTCCTCACCATTTGGATAAGTGACCATTTTCACTCAACAAATTGAGATGTCCTTCTGGTCTGGGGTGTCTGATTGAGTATATTCCAACAAAGGGACTCTATAGGAAAAGGTAGAAAAGTTCTTGTGGATTTTTCAGACTGTAATTGTTTACAGGACAGGAAAATCTCATCTTTCTCCCACAGAGCAACTGGTGGTTTCAAACTGCTGACCTACCAGTTAGCAACCCAATGCATTATCCACTACACCATCCAATCTAATTCGCTGTGTAAACTTTCACCCAAACATAATAAAATATTATTTAAAAATTCAAACCAAAATGAGGTATCACAAAATACCTATTAGAATGGCTACCATAAAAACTTGATGATATCAACTATTGCCACAGATATGGAGCAAATGGAATTCTATATTACTCACGAAAATGAAGAATTGTGTAATAACTTTAGGAACGAGTATAGAAGTGTCTTATATATTTAAGTGTACACCTATCATGCAACCCAGAAATTCCATTGCTATCTACTTTCCCAAGAAAAATGAAAACATCTTGCAGAGACTTCATTCTGCATGTTCACCATAGCTTTATCCACAACAGATCAAATTTGTTAATAGCTTAAATGTCTATTAATTAATGGATGAATGGACTATCAATATAATGAAACACTACCGACCAATAAAAATAGGTACTACAAATACTTACAGTAACATGGATGCAGAGACTACAAAGGCCATTCTCTCCACAGGAAAAGAGGGACCAGACTTCAACCCAGTGCTCCAAGGTGTGAAGACAACATGCCAGTGCAGAGTAGGAAACCAGTGGAGAGGTCTTGGGGGCTGGTCCAAGCCCCAAATACTAAGTGGATTCCTGCCCCTCCGCGGAGAAGAATTTATCTCAAAGGATGGCACTGAATCTGCAGCTCCAGGAGAAGGATATATCTGACCAGAGCACACAGGA